TACAGGATTCGCCCTCAAGATATGTTAATGGTTATGTGCTAAAGGCAATGTAGGCTCTTGTTTTGAAATACAAGCAAAGTGTAAAACGGGTGAGGCAAGATTATTTACAAGATGGTCAAGATCACCCTTCTCAACTGGGGTATTGGGAAGGAGGTAGACACTGCATAATGTGTATTGTTGATTAAAAAACACTTTTACAGTGACTGCCTATAGTGGAATGTTAGGCCTAAGACACAAGCTCATATCACAGTGCCACTATGACAACTCATAGGATTTGGCAGAATAAAATGCATGATAAGCATGTGGACCAGGTGGGGCAGCATCCCCAACCTTTGTCTCTTGGATGCATATAAATGCAAGGGAGAAATGAGCAGCAAGACCACACAATTCCTCCCAGGAGGCATGCAATCCAAGACAATTCAATTGAGGACTGAGATGATTACTACTTTGTATGGAGCTTTTGGAGTCCCTTAGAAAAGGTCTTCTTAGCACCTAAAACTCCTTATGTGTCTGAGAGGTTTTTTATTAGGATCTTTACTTGAATCTTAGTGGCACATGTTCCACACTTACTAGTGACAGGAGTAATGACTAAAGAAGATTTATCCCTCCCCCCTCCTGAAGTGCTCTTCAGCTAATCTGTTGAATTTTGATGTTGAGAGAAGTAGAGCACAGGTTTCATCTGACTTCTGTCTGCGATAGTAGCCAAAATCTCTAGGGAAGTGGTAATAGCAAATGTCATTACTTCAGCCTCTACTGACTCAGTAGAGCACTGAAGAGGTTGGGCTTTGGCCTCACTGCAAGAACGCTTCTGCTGGGTAGCAGCAGAAGACTCTTTTACAGCTTCTTGTTGAGAAAGTGGAGCAGTTATTGACAGTTGTGGAGCAGCTGGGATCATTGTTGGTCAGCAAGGATATTCACTATCAATAGAGGTAAATGTTACTCCTGGGTGAAAGAGTCATGTCAGGGCAAGTTTCTCTGCCTCAGGGAAAGACACCTTTTCTTGAGTGCAGAATAGAAGAATCTCTTATATTTATCACATTTGCATGAGGAAGTTGGGTCAGTTCCACCACAATGGAAGCACTTCACTAGGTAAGGGCAGTCTTCCAAATAGTTTTTTTCACCGCATGAAGCATACACTGGAAGGAAGGCCCTTCTGGAGCCAGTGGCATGAATCAGCTACATGTTCATAACTATGCCAGCTGAAACAGTGGCGAGGAACAGGCACAATGTACAGAAGGAGGCAAAACTAGGCTCTGAAATGTCAGAAAAAGAGACGGTGTTGGTGTTATTACACCGTCAATCTTATTCTGAAAATGGTGTACTGCTGTAACTCCCTCATTGGCCATTTCCTGGAGAAGCTTTATAAAGTAACAGTGGACCAAAAATATCAAGATCTGTGATGAGCTGCTCATTTACAGATTTCAGGGTCATATATTTATTTTAGGTTCAAACTTTGCTGGTAGTATCTCCACCGTTGCCCTTTAGGACCAGACATTTGTTTCGTTCCTCGCCTCCGGCTCTTACGGCGGTTATCACCTGATGAGAACGGTGTGTTAGAGGGGGTAAAATATCCCTTAGTGCCCCTTGGAGGGATCCAGAGTGACAATGAGCGACAGTTGGGAGGAGGAGGCCAAGGGCAAGCGGACATCAGGGAGAGAAGCAGGCCGAGGTAATTCTAATTATTTTTTGCCATAAATACAAGTAAGAGTATTCATTACCCCAGCCCCCCACCAACCTGAGAGTCCTATGGGGAGGCTGGTGTTGGGGTCCGCACATACCCAACAGCCCCAGGGGTAGTGAGGGAAGTATACGTAGATATAACCTGGAGTGATATGGCAGCCACAAGACCACTGTGGTGCGGTGCCCACCAGACATTGCCCTAGCCTGTACATTTCTCAAATAACAATGTGACTGACCAACCAATTGACCTGATCAGGTCAAGATCATGCCATCTGCCTAAATGCCCAGTTGTGTGAGAACTTTTTCACGAAAAGTCTAATACAAATACTAACATGCAATACACCTAAATTATCAAAAATAAGATATACATTTTTCTACTCAGATGCCAAAAATAATACATCCACTTGTAAAGAACTAGTCATGAACTGAAACACAAAAATTAAATTGTAAAAGTAGTTAATTATATAAATTTGATTTAAAAGTAAGGGAACCAAACAACACTCTGAAAACTTATATGCTATTTCTTAGTCATAAGCTTTGTCTTCTACATAGGGCACAAAGCTTGCACAATTTGCAAGGAGGGTACAAAAGGGTTACAGAGGCTAATCCCAGTTGGCTAACTGCCCTGACTTCCAGGATACAGCCAAAAAGTAAATGCATAAAATATCGCAAAGTTAAGGCATTATTCATAGCTTTATATAGGCATTCTGTTAATAATGGCTTAATAAGTGAAATGATGCCTTTTACAGTTTTTTTTTATTAATATTTAGTCAACATTTGGTTGATTACCAATGTATACAATTATATTTCTAAAAATTACTTCTGTGGTATTAGCATGAACTTATGAAGAGGCAAAACATAAAAGGTTTCAAAGCTGTTTCTTGTATATATATAGTTTGTATGATTTCTTTCCCATAACAATTAAAATCAGTGCTTTAATACTATGCACTTTTATATTGCAATATTTCCCTATTCTTAAAATATCAACAATGTTTTTATTTGTAAACACCCTGCTGAGTTCTCTGTCAAATATATTATATTTTAAATGAAAAAAATAAAGAAAGCACATTGCAAAGAGCTTTCCAGCCTGACCTGTCATTGCTACCTGTTACAATGCTTGAACATGCAGAGGCTTAACCTTCCCTTTACTATTTCTATGGACAATTTTCATGAGTGCTATTAACTTCTACCAAATAGTCTAAAAAATTAAATCCAACTCTAAAGTCTTTCCATCTTTCAGGTATTCAAATTAAGAGTCTCTTGACTTTCTTATCTTATAGTTAAGCCTTCACCTTCCCTCTTTTCAAAGAATGAAGTGCATCCTCTACTTTTCTTTAAGCACATCCCAAACATTGCTGCTTCCTGCCCATTTTCATCATCTCTTTTACTACAGTTTTTTTCAGGTGCTTCTAAAATCATTATTACTAACTGTTATGCACAAAGTACCTTTACTGAATCCTTTTTTCAGAATGCCTTTGAAATTATGCAATTCTTAATGGAAGTGATAGAAGTGAATATGATCATTAAAAGGAAAAATGAAGGGAAGTGCAGGAAAGCACACACATATGCTGAAGGCCTTTTTGCTTTATTGCTTCATAAGGGTATATGCCCTGATGGAGAAATAAAATGAAAAAGCTTTCAGCAATTTCATGTGTTTTCCTATACTTCCCTTCGTTGTTCTGCTTGGAATTTGTTCAACATGAATTCCACATAGCAATGAAACTACAGAGAAAGATTGAATGACAAAAAGAATAACATTGTCCATTTTGTATGTATTCTGAATCATTCAACTCACAGTTGTTCCTAGCTGAATTCATTGTTTCTTGTTAATGATACAAATGTCAACTGGTCTGTGCATCCTTGTCTCAGCCCCTACAACTCCCTACAGCCTTTGTCCCTCTTCCTCCCTCTCCTGCTTGTTTACCTTACAGAAATATCCACTTCTGGTCCTATGGAGCCTGGTGGTCTCAATCTCCATGATAAATCATCCCCCATGTTAAAATCTCAATCTGAAATAAAAAGAAAAAAAAAAATTACAATACAGGTTACAAAAATAACATTTTTATATTGAACTTGGATCATATACAATGTTTGTGTTGCATAACATTTGTTTACATAAAGTGTTTTCATAGCTGATAATTAGACTGTTTTTCTGTATAATAATGAGAAATATGATAATTTCAATTATTTTATGTTACAGTACTGTACAGAGGTTGCTAAAACTTAAACATTGCTTAAGATGCAGCCCATAAATAATATCTTTGTTAAGTAACAAATATAAACTAACAAATACAACTAATATTTGCTTATGAAGTATTTGTACCATGGAACTAAGTAAGGGTACATGGCCATATAAAATTATATTAAAATTCTTGTCTATTAGGGTCAGAATCTCACCTGAGTTTTCTTAATATTGCTAAGCTGTCACAAGGAATGCTACAGCTATATTGGGACATTTAAATAGGACATTTCTAAAGAAGATAAGATAATCCATTAAAGGATTAGATGTAGACCACTGATCCAGCAAAATGTCAAGTTTGGAATATAATAATATCATAATAACAAGGTCATTAACATAATGCTGCTTTCTTCCTATTACATACTTTCTTTTAAATGTGCTACAGAGTTTACTTCATTGTTAAGGCCAGAAGCAAACTGATGGAAAAATAATAACTTTATTGTCTGTAATACTATCACAAGTAAACAATTTTCCTTCAATTTGATTTTTATATAGTTACAGGGTCACAGGATTTTAAAGTATCAATCTCAGGACATCACAATGTATTCAAGTATCAACATAAATTTTGAAATAAAAAAGGCCAAGTAACACCACAGATAAAAAAAAAGTCTAGTGTTAATCTAAATTACATTTTAAAAAATCCAGAAATTCATTATAGGACCCAGTATTACCTTAAACAATCAATAACATTAGCTAACCCATGGGCACTTACCTCTTACCTCCTAATGCTCCACACCGGTATACAATACATCTTGGTAACTAAAAGTAGTTCTAACCAGAAATAAAAACTAAATAAAACTAAATATACATATACATATATGCACACATATATATACTGTATATATGTGTGTGCATCCAACTCTTTCACAGCACAGGAAGAGTGAACTAAACTTGACCACTGTTAGCTTCACATGACCAGCCCTCAGCGCATGACATTCAGCTGCAGAAGGGGATTACCTGCTGGTTTTCACTCACTCCCTTCTCTCTCCTTACAGCGTGAATGGGATAGGACTACAAACTCATGTCTGTTTGCACTTGAGGCTATATGCAAATGATTGGGTAAATGTACTGTTTATTACAC